AGAATAGAATAGAATAGAATAGAATAGAATAGAATAGAATAGAATAGAATAGAATAATAGAGGAATGGAAAATCCACTTCTATCTCAAAAATTTAGAAGCATTTTCAGACCACACTTCTCTTTTGGGTGGCATGTGAGAGAAAGTACTCCCAAAACTGGGCAGAGCCAGAATAAAATATAAATTTAAACTGAATTTAAATTGAATGGAAATTAAATTGATTCAATAAAGATAGTATGATTAGTCCCATTCATTTAGTAACTTCCCCATTCTGGCACAATAAAAATTAGCTAATAGTCACTTCTGGAGGTGTTTCTGCCCTTTTGCTGCAAAAGGGATGACTTGCTGGCAGGGTCGTAAAAACAGCAACTTCTCTCCCTATGGCCATCCTGGGATTCCACGTCAATTATTCTACACTGATTCAGATGAACAGGGTTACTCCTCTTGGAAATCATTCGCCCCTTTGGGGAGGGATAAAAATGGACTTTGTTTGACATTATCAGAACTACATCTACTCATCCCAGAATCTGCAATGCAATTCCCATCATGAGGAACAGCCTTTCTGAGAGATATCCTTGGCTGCTGCCTGATCCAGAATGATCAGCAAGACTCAGAAGACCACCTTTGAATGAAAGGAATAAACCCAAGTAACTCTCATGTCCTCTCATCATGGGAATTCTGATTCTTTAGTGAGCTTTATAAGCACTTAGCCCATAGCAAGTGACAGCTCCTAGCTGATCTTGGCTCATCCCAGAAAAGCTATGCAGGGTGAGACCTGGTTCATATTTGAATGGGAGATCACAAGGGAAGGCCAAGACTCAGGGCTAGACTGGGAAGTCAACAAAATCCCACTTGGAAGCAACAGAAAAACCACTTCATATGATGTCACAGATGTCTCCATCCAGTCACTAGGAGTTGAGACACAATTCGAAGGAGTTTTCACACTTTCTCAATTTAACCTGAACAGCTGATCCCAAACCAGCACATTGTCTCTGCAAAGTTCAAAGGCTGCAACTCTGAGGAGTCTCCCGAGGGAGGAAACTTCACACCCAGGGTAAGAGGCCCAGCCGCTGTTACCAATCCCAACCTTTGTCAGCCCAGCATCTTCCAGAGAACCCATGAAGAGGATGGCAGGAATCACAATCTCATCCATCTTGGGGAGAGTGGCTTATCCCCCAGCTGTGGAAACCTGCCACACATTGTTAGGAGGGTGGAAAAGGAAAAGCGAGGAAAATAAAAAATCAGAAAGGAAAAAAAAAAATCTGCAACAGATAGGCTGACACCTTTGCAAAAGGGAAAAGTTTGATCACAGCTACATCCCAGCTACAGTGACCACCAGGAGGTATGGGATTACCCATTTCATCTGTATTGGACATCTTCAGATGCAGGAGCCAAATGTTACTCTGTGGTGTGCGTGTGTCTCCCTTTGAGTCAGTCTTGACTCCTGGCGACTGCCTGGACAAGTCCCTGCAGTTTTCTTGGCAAGATTTTGAAAGTGGTTTGCCCTTGCCTCCTTCCTAGGGCTGAGAGAGAGTGACTGGCCCAAAGTCACCAGCTGGCTTCATGCCTGAGGCCAGACTAGAACTCATGGTCTCCCGGTTTCTAGCCTGGTGCCTTCACCCCTACACCAAACTGGTTTTTGGGACAGGGTTCTAATAAAAACAGTAAGTCTTTTGATAGCTTCAAGTTTGAAGTAGACCTGATCCAAGTGTCTGTTGTAGGCCTGTTTTATTATTGATAAGTCCTGCCTTTCATCTCTGTAGGCTCATTTGGCAACAGCGGGCAGCCAGTCCATTTCCCATAATGCTCCAACATAGCCTTAGTTCTTAGCATTTGGGAAATTCAAATGGCCACCTTCTCTTTTATGACCTCCTTTTCTAGGGAAAAAAACCCAAGAGGTGATATGTTGGTCTCTGAGCCCACTGGGGGCCTTAGCAGTTCCCAGTGAAATCTAGGTGCTAAGTCAGCCCTGACTACGCTCAGATCCATAGGCTTTAGGTTTGAAGAACACTCCCCATCTTCATCTCCTACAATATGGATGTGCTGAAATGTTGTTGTTTTTTTATTTTTTGACTCCAACACCATCAGCCAGCATAGCCAACAGTAAGAGATGCAGGGAGTTGCTGCTTAGCAGTACATGGAGAACCCAGCTTGCTCTCCCTAGGAACTGCTAGAGATGGTTCCCATATGGCCAGCCATGAAAGCAATTTCCATTACTGAGTGGCTGCTGAAATCCACTGAGATGCTTGAGGAAGGTGGGTGGGCCCACATGCTATATAAAACACTCAGCTGGAGCCACAGAAGCATCTAGGAAGCTGTTCCACAGGCTTCAGGGGTCTTCAAGCTCTGTCAGAGGGCAGCATCTAGTTCTTTGGCTAATCTTGAAAAAAGCTAATTAGTATCAGGTCTGGTTACTTCTTGGCTGGGAGACAACCAGGGTTGTGGCTAAACTAAGACGTCAAAGAAACATCCCAGAAATCCAATTCTGTAATGTTGCCAAGAAAACTACCAGAACTCAAGCTTGACTTGGGGGACTATTATCTTTTTATATAACCCCAGTAATTATCTTTGCTGCAAGAAACTTAAGAATATTCAAAGGACCAATATTCAGAGGATCTTTTTGCAGAAACATGTCTGTATCCTGGCTTGGGATGATGGGGATTCTTATCAAGTACATCTGAAAAGAACTGGCTGGGGAAGGTGGGTCACAGATGACGTAGGTGGACTCTCAGGGAGACAGCTTCTTAGTGATCATTCCCAGCACAGGCCCATCACACAGCTATGGGTGCCTTGGTTTTAGCACTGATTCTAAAAAAACAGGATCCCAATTTCTGAAGCCCAACACACCAATCCCGCTACGTACCTGGATCCAAGAGATGCCCACATGTGATGGAATGGAATTATGAAGGCTAGGCTCAGGGAGAAAAACCTTTTCTTACATCTCCTGAGGAGCGTGGGAGATACAAGAGGATGAGACTGGCACCTCCCTGAGGAATTCACACTGTTGTGGCTGGCTGACTTGGGACCTGGGGTTTCAGTC